TCCGGCAAAGGGACCAGCCTGACTTCCTACAATCTGTTTACTCGGCGCTGTCTCTGGTATCCGAGCAATTGAGACCGACTGAGACCTAACCCTAAACCCTAAAATCCCTAAAAGCCCAGCAAACTCCTTTTATGTCCTCGCCCCGGACAGGGCGGGGAGGAGGGGGGCCGTGGGCTGGCCACTTGGCTTTCCGTAATCCCTTCTACACTTAAGGTGGGGCGCGGGACCCTAAGCCTTCAACCCCTCAGGCCGTTCTTCTTCTTCCTTTCTTTTCTAATAGTAGCCTTAAACTCATCCCTACGACAAAAACACATAATCCCGGGGGCCCGAGAGAGGGGCAAAATCAGCCTCCACGATTTGAAGAAATCCCGCCTTGGTGTACATGGGAAGTGTTGGCTGCTGGTTCTCAGGAACCAGAAGCAGCTGTGCGACGGCATGCTCCTCGAAATGCGTAGTCGGGCTTCCGCTTCTCTTGCGAAGTGTATCTGTGCATATAGTGCGCGAAACATGCTTGTCCAGCATTGAGGGAACTAAAGCTAACCCTTTGGTTCACCTCGCAGATCAGGGTCTCACTTCGTCTTGCTTCCGGATCCCTGCACGCCCTTATCCCTGTAGACCCCCGCAGAAACAACTATAACTACAACAAGCGCGGACAAGACCCCTACCAGTCCAGCACCTAAGTACGTGGAAACTTGAAACAAGGTCTCCCAGGTATTGGCGGCCGCGCCCCGCACGGCCTTGGACGCTGGATGAAGGTTTGCTAGGGCTTCTCGACGCAATTTGGCGCTTGGGGCGTTCGGTGCTGCCCGGATGAAAGAGCTGGCTTGTATTCGTGGTGAGAAAAACGTCCAGGCTTCTTGAACCGAAGTTTTTCGATTTCGTTTCAGGCTCGAGTTGAAGATCTAACAGATCTGATATCGATATTCCAATGATGCATGGTGCTGCCAGATGATTCCCAAAACCGAAGCCCCATGCCATCCTATGCCATCCTATGAATCCTATGCCACCTTGTGCCCTGAACTGCCCTCAACGCTCTGGCATGCTCTGGCTATGCTTGCAGGTCCAGCTGCCATGGGCACAGTCTTTGCCGCCGGCACGGTGTCGGCATCGGGCAGATGTCGCCATGCCATCTTCAGCGGCCCGAATCTCAACACACTAGGACACCGGATGTATGAAGCTGGCCTTGGAAATTGGCTGGGATATATTTTTTGGTAGATTCTCGGTCATGAACCAGGAAATAGCTGCAAGCACCCCATCCGCAAGTCCGGATGAAGGCGCTGAACATGAGGGTGATTAAGAGCCAAACCAGCAAATCAAGGAAAGTTTAGGGGCAGCCTTACTCTACTAACTTTAGTTAAGGGAATTTTATTTGTAAGACTCATTAACCCAATTTGGGGCCCTTGTCACCCCCGGGGCCGTTCTAGGGCTTTTTCGCTCCCGCATAGCTGGCCGAACAAAGTCCTGAGCTGTAAGGGTTATAACCCTAAACCCGTAAACCCTAGAGGGCTTAAGGTTCAGAAGCCCAACCTCCCGGTCATCCCTGCGCTCCCTTTTCCATCTCAGGCATCGCAGGGCTTCGACTGCATGAGCCGAGAGGCGGCCAGCGAGGGCCACCGACTCGGCGCAGCGCTCGGCAGCTTCCTGCAGGAGCCCACCCTTTAGGGGTTGGGGTTTAGGGTTTAGGGTTTAGGGTTTAGGGGTTTAGGGGTTTAGGGGTTTAGGGTTTAGGGTTTAGGGTTTTTTTCCCACCCGTTTCGCAAGCGTATACGGGGGAGAGGTCAGGCCTAGTAAACGCCTAAGTTCAGATTCAAAAGGCTTCTAGTCCGTTTCTGGAGCACCTGCAGACGGCCTTCGGAGTTCACTCTCCCCACCAACAACAGCATCAACACCAACAAAATCGTATGTCCAACCATAAACCCCGACAACCCCAGGACTACAAAGAACTAATTCCGAAGCTGCCATCCCCGGACTCCCAAAGTGCGAAAGTCAGAACCCTATCCCCCCCCAGCTTGCCTGCCCGAGGGTCGCATAGGCCAGGGTGCGGCAAAGATGGGCTTGACTAAACATAGAGGGCTGGTCTAAGGATGCGCCCAGGCAGGCTCACTGTCTTGCGAAATGACGCACGATGGGGGGCGATTGAGTTTCGTATCCCCGGTCTTCAAGTATTCAGTTCATATTTACTGTCAGGATACGTTACATCACCAGACAACAACGGCAGGTACGTTTCCCGGGGATACGTCCACGCTGCAGACTCGCCAGTGTCATCTACTCCACTACAGCAGAGTTGACAGGGCTTCAAATGGGTCTGTTTGTTCCCTAGAGCCTTGCATGTTTCAAAGGGCTATGTAGCTCTCAGGAGTGTCGGAGTTGCTTCCAGTTTCCAGTTCTCCTACTAGATTATCCGTACGAAACCACAGTAAGAGCATGAGCGTCTGCTGAACTAGCCGTTCACTTGCTGCAACTCCTGGTGCGGTGAGATGTTGCCTTGCCACGAGAAGCTCAATCGTCAGGCCGACTGGGGGTTTGAATTGGGGGGTTTAGGGCGTCGCTGTCTCTGCATCGGTTTTGGAGGTTTAGGGTTTGGGGTTTGCGGTTTAGGGTTTAGGGGGCAGCCTGTGTTCACTGAAGCTTGAGCCACCCTTTAGGGATGATAAAAGAACACCAGTCCGATTGGAACATTACCGAGCAGGAGAATCGCATATCAGCAAGACAGGCGAGCACAAGACAAGGAGAACCAGCCCGACAGGTAAAAGACTAAAAGCAGAAAAGGACAAGAAGAGTGTAGACATGCTATTGCTCAGTCATGTTCAAACTCACTCCGAAGAGTAAAAGGCTCAAGGAGATAGGGTGAAATTTCACTCATATCCTGGCAGGATACAGTGCCTGTTGCTGAATGTCACATCAGCCTCTGCCGCCGAGAGAGCTCTGGGTAACGACGAATCATCTCTTGCTCGTCGGTGGGTCTCTCAGAGGCGAACTTGGCAGCATCCTTTATACGAGCAACTCGTGCTCTCAGCCAGAAGAGGACAGCATGCCTCTCCACACTTCCCCTTAAGATCGTTCCAACTCGGCTCGTCGGGATTTCTGGATATCCTGGCCCAGACGTCGAGAGCCTTACAAGGAGTTCCTGCTCTTCTTCAGTGAAGTACTTGGGATACTGCAAGACAATCGTTGCTTGCTTCTCGACTGTTGTGCTCTTGTCCTTTGTTGTCGACCGGATAAAGGATGTCATGGCGTTGGGGGCTGACTGGAAAAGATCCCATGCGCGTTCCAAGTCGTCACCAGAAGCGGCATGCATACACTGTGTGGCGACCAGTAAATACTTTGCAAACCCGAACGCTTCCTTTGGAATCACGTCTCCCACAAGATGGGTTATGGTCGCAATGGCAGGATGGTACTTCCCTGGAAGTCTTCCAGATTGCAGGCTACCAATTGCTTCTGCGAGATAGCCCCCAGACGCCAGCTTCTCACTTGACAACTGGTCCCCAAGAATCACCTTCAAGTAGATCAACACAATGGCAGGCTTGTTTACGTTTCCCCATCCCGCAGCATCGTCTGTAGTGAGCCCCTTCTGAAAGAGTGCTAACCCCAGTTTTGTCGTCTTCCGGAATACCGGGTTGTACACTTCTGCAATCACAAAAGCCTCTTCACCATCTGTGTCAGAAGTGAAGCCGAGATCATCCATATGGTCGACCAGAACCTGCTGTTCCGGTGACAGACCCTCTAGCGGGACTCTAGCAAGGCCTTTCAATGTTGGAGGTAACTGCCCGAGAACAAAGGTGCCTGCCATCCTCTCAATGTTCTCCAAAAGTTCCTTGTAATCGCTGACATCGATACCCATGACCGCCTTGAAGTCTGCTGGAGAGACATTCACTTCGGTGATCTCTTCTAGCTTGCTGATGTTTAACACAATGCCCTGCTTCTTCGTCTTGATTTGCTCCACGACTGTGGTGGCTCCTGCATCCTCCGCACCTGGTACTGCATCCTCTGTCAGGCCGTCCATGCTACTGTGCTCTTGTGTGTCGAGGAGAAGGGCCTTTCGTACTGATGTTCTTTTTTCGCTTGAGCCAAAATGGCTACGGTTTAGGGTTTAGGGGTTTAGGGGTTTAGGGGTTTAGGGGTTTAGGGGTTTAGGGGTTTAGGGGTTTAGGGGTTTAGGGTTTAGGGTTTAGGGTTTAGGGTTTAGGGTTTAGGGTTTAGGGTTTAGGGTTTAGGGTTTAGGGTTCAGGGTCATAAGGATGCTTGCCAGGGTACGGTAGGTCGGCTACCTTAGGATCCTGGGGTGCTCTTGGCAGGGAAATAGAATGATAACCATATAGCATGTACTTAAATTTAATCGTAGGATGTTCACAGAAAAAATATATGTGCATGTACAAAGTACCAAATGTAACAATGGAATAAACCCGTATTCCAAATAAGAACATACCAGATATAACAATGTACGATAGTACAAAAACATAAAAATGTGTTTTGCGCGTTTAAGGCCAAAATTTAGGGAGTGCTTGTCAAGTTGGTGAGGTGAAGTTCACAAGTCAACGAATCTGCTGTGAGCATCCCGATGATTCCCAGACCACCGCAACACCGATGCCACAATCCAACAGGATTTCTTTCTGCACCTGTGGTCTGTACACGCAAGTATAAGGCAGTCAAGTCACGCTGGCCGAGAAGGCGGAAGCAACAGAGACAACGTCGCTGGGCAGCCGCGCGTCCCGCATCATGTCCAACAGGTGCCTCTGCTGCAGAAAGAAATGGCGTTGGTTGAGCCTGCCGGTATGCAGTACAAGCCGTTGTACTCCCGTTGGGGTTTAGGACAGTTTTGAGAGGGTTGTGGCCCTTGCGGCTTGCAGGCCATGAACCACGGTCATAGTCAGCCATACCTGACCTTAGGACCCCGAAACACCTCAGTATTAGGGTTTTCGTCAGGACTCCTACATCATGATCGGGCTCTGAAGCTGAATCTCTTTCAGTAGATACCTACGAAACCCCCCCAAAAAGAACCCTCACAAATGCAGCGGCTGCTGCATGGCCGGCGCCCAGGCGGCGGCCGCCTGGCAAACGGCCAGGGCGGCGTAGAAAGTGACACCATCGGCCTGAAGTTCTCGGCTGGAGAGCTCCTTTTGACAGCAAAAAGGGGCTCACGTCGGGACTTCTCTCTCCCCTTCTCTCAACTTTGACTCACCGTCGACGCTGCCGCAAGGCTTCCGCTTCAAGAGGCTCCTGTAGGGGGGTTGACATTTTGGCCACACTACAGTTTCTCACACCAAGCCCAATTTCCCACACAGAGCTCCTCCAAAAGGATGAAGGCCCTCTGCCACTGCCACTCCCTCCTGCAAGAGCTGATGGCCGCATTGTAGGTGATGGTGTTGGCACGGATGTCCTTAAGGCTTTCAAGCTCTTCAACCAAGGCCTCTGTTAGGGCTCCCTTTTGCATAGAATTCGACACTTATGAGGTGGCAGCTAGTCTGGTTGGACTCAGGACTTGCTGTACACTCTTATCGCGGCGGATTTGAGTGTGTTCACGGTATTCGCTCAGCTTTGGGCTCGTTGCTCAGACATTCCTGCCGGCTTCCGTCGGGATCCGTCCCTCACGGATTCAGCTCTTCGTTGGCGAGCGACTTTTGGGCAACGCGGTCCATGCAGCTTCAATTTGGCGCGGCTGCTGGGTTTCATCGTTCATGGTGTGATGGTGTCATGGTCTCTCTGTGTGTGTGTCCCTACGAACAATGTCTTGCTAACCTCAAGCCAGGCGAGCATCTGAATCTGACATCTGGAACAGCAGTTGAAAAACCTTTCGCCACTGACCCCCTTTCTCGCAGGCGCTGATGGTAGCAGTGTATGTGATCAGGTTTGCCTGTGAAGAGTCGAACAAATCCAGAGCAAGCCACCACTTCTCGCCTTTCTCACATGCGCTGATGGCGGCACTTAGCAGCACCACATCAACTTGCATCCCCTTTACTCGGATTTCCTCGACAAGTGCAATAGCCAGCTCCCACTCCTTTGCCTTCTCAAAGGCGCTTACAGCGGCGCTGTACGCCACTACATTAAGGCTCGCTTTCTTCGCTTCGGCGCGGCGGAGTAGGTCCAAAGCCAGCTGCCAATGCTCAGACTTCCCACAGGCGCTGATGCTGGAGCTGTACGTGAACGAATCGGGCAGCATCGTTTGTTGTCCCATCTCTTCCAGAATTTGAAGGACCATTTGCCATTGCTCTCCCCTCTCACATGCGCTCAGCACTGCATTGTAAGTGACCAGGTTTGGGGGAACAAAGGTCGCCTGAAGCTCCAGCAGAAGGAGCCAGGCAATTTGCCAATTTCCGGCCTTCTCACAGGCGCTTACCTGGCTGAGGTTGTATTTGTGGTAGGTAGACATGTCTTTACACATATGGCACTGAGAAAAAGGAGCCTTGGCAGCCTAGTCACAGCTGCACTGCCGATGATCACATCCAGTCTCAAGCCCTGCAGCTGTGTGTCCCAAAGGGTGTGAAGGGCCTGCTGCCATTGCGCGCCCTTCTCACATGCACTTACCTGCACAACGGCTTGCAGGGGTTTGTGAAGGACGTCCCCAGTACGAAAATGAATCCGATGGTGTTAGAGTGGTTTACGAAACGCTGTGCAGGTTGAACTCTTTAAAGCACGAACCAGGGCACGGCAGTGCTGTACAGGATCACGTTGGCTTGCAGGGATAGGGCCTGATGTTCTCGGAACAGTTCCAGTCCTCGGTGCCACTCTGCACCAGCCGCGCACGCGCTAACCAGGGAGCTGTAGGTGACCACCTGCAGCGCCCAGTGTTGGAGGGAAAAGAGGGCGGTCTTCTGATGTCTTCTGTATTCTAGGGCAAAGCTTCCTTTGAGTCGTTAGAATCGGGAAGAAAGGATCGTTAAGCGTCAGTTAGGCTCTCTTTATCGCTGCTCTTGAGCCGGTTTGCTGCTTGATTTGGATCAAGAGAAAAGATGTCCAGCTCATCTGAAGAGGTCACTCAGAAGGGTCAGGCTCAAGCTCGAGCAAGCCACGGTAGGCTGGCAGACCTGTGCTTGAAGATTGCCGAAGAGCTGGCAGGCAGCTTGCCACTCGCTGCTTTTCTCACCTTGTCTTCGGTGGCAGTAGCGGGGAAAAAGGGGCCTATGTAAGTCAGATAAGTGCTTTGAGAGCTGTTTCCTTTGCGAAGGAGTTGGTAGCGAAGCATCTGCTTTGAACAATGCCCAAGTCACAGGCGCTGATGGCTGAGTTGAAAGTTACGACATCCGGCTTGTGAGATGTCTGCGCAAAGTGCCCAACAAACTCCACAGCCTGCTCCCACTGGTGCCCCTGAGCACAAGCGCTGATTGCGGCGTTGCAGAAGGGCACGCTTTGGGTAGGAAGCCATGCCAAGAAGCTCAGTGCCTTCTGCCACATGGCGCGCTTGGCACAAGCTTTCATGGTCGCCATGTAAACCTAGGCAGGCACGAGCTGCCACCGAACATCGCTATACCTCGCAGCATTAAAAAACACCTCCCCAACAAAGCAAAACAGAGCAAAGAGGCTTTGGGGCAGATCTTGGGGTCGGAAGGAGCCCGCACCACCAGTCCCAGGGCGCCCTCCCAGTCTTTTCCACGTGCACGGCTCAGGACCGTCTCGGCAAAGGACGGGCCGCTGAGAACAACTGTCATCACTGTATGTCGCTGTCCTTGTGCTATTCGGGGTGGGCTGGAACATCCGGATGGCTTGTGGCCACGGAGCGAACCTTTGCGCTCAGTGGTGCCGCTGGAGTGGCTGCGCATATGGACATTTGAGAGCACATTTGGAACGCTAGCCGATGCTACGATGGAGGAACGCCCCATTCCTATAAAGACAACATGCCTACGTGGCCACCACGAGGGAAGGCAGTACCGGGCCCTATCCTGCAAGAGGTAACCTAAGCACGAGATGACCGAAGAAGCGAACCACCACCACGTTATCAACCCCTGAACTGTCAAGATGTCCCCCGTAAATTCAGGGCTTTCCAACCACAAGCTCCCTGCTTTTCCTACCTGGTCCAGGAACTTCAGCCGTGGACAAGTGCACCTGGATGCAAGGCACGGGCAAGACAATCATATAATATAATATAATAGAATATAACATAATATAATACAATATAATGTAATATTATATCCTATAATTGAATATATAATATTATATTCTACAATATAAATAAATCACTCAAGGCCGGAAGGTAAGCCAAGCACGCCCTGGGACACCCATCGCGAGGGCCTACAATGAGTTGAAGCGCTTCGAGCCAAATGCCTCTGAACAACTGCGGGCTGAGACACACCCCGTTAGTTTCAACCACCGTCCACACACCCAACATGCACCCATTATCGAAAATTCTCAGATAACTACTGTGGACACTTCCCTGTCTTAGTCAGAATATCGTGCACGATATTCCTGAAAAGTCTTTAGTTGCAACATAGGTCGCCACATCTGCGACCATATCCAAAAAGATAGTGCATTGGGGGCGTCCGCCAGGGGGCGAAGACACCAATGGCACAACCATCTTTCTGGGTCTCTTGGCGATGTGCTTTTTTGTTTGGGGGGGGGGGGGGGGGACTCAGAGTTTTAATGGCGGTTTTCTCGAAAATAGAAGAGGTCAGAGACCCTAAGCCCTAAGCCTTAAGACCCTGACTTCCACATTGTCCGATCAGCGGCACTCCTTTCAACTCCTCCAGCCAACCATGGGGGTTTTTTGGGACTTGAGATTATAGGGTTTCGACTCGCATGCTGATTTTTGCTTTGGGAGGTGCGGCGATGTGCTGGTGCACTGCGCTTGTCAGTCCAAGGTCCTGCGCAGCATGCCTTGGCCGCCGAAGCTGTAGCTGACCACAGCTGACAGTCCGCCTGCAAGCTGGCGACAGAACCTGGAACTACGAGTATAGTGTGTTCCCAAGCTATTCCCAGGCATGCGGCAAATGCAGCCGCAGCCCAGGAAACCTCATCCTACTTGGAAGACCCTGGGAGCGCGGTCAGAAGCTCCGCTACCTCATCGTTCACCGATTCACCGACCTCGACCGCTCTGATACGACAGCTGCGACTCAGCATGCAGTTCGACAGGAAACGAAACTAATGATGTGACCCTGCACCCAATCGGAAGTGCTCGGCTTTTGACATCTCTGGCCTGGGCTCCCTGTGTGACTGCGTTCGCGCGTGCTCCCCCTGCGGCCCATCGTCCGGTCTTCCTTGGCTGAGGGCTGGTCCTGAAATTCTCCAACCCTAAACTCAAAAAGACAAGCAGAAATTTTGAGAACACACATCAGGGAACCATTGATGTGCGAATCTCTTCGACAACCCGCGAATCAGTTCTGCATGAATCAGTTAACGACCCATACATGTGTCCAATCTGCCTTTGGGTGAGGCTGTGTGGCACCAGCCTTACAAACACCTCCAGAAATAAACGAACCAGCACTTACGCAACATCTTGTCATCCAAGAAATCAACCATCCCTCCTTATCCAAGGCTCCAGCAAATGCGCCGGAAAGTCGACTAAATCTGGGGAAGCGTTGTCCTCCCCACATTCAGTAGCCTCCCCAAGCCCATTCCGCCACGCGCGCCCCGGCTTGTGCCACTGCTTGTATCGCGACGGTGTAGGTCACCTGGGTTCAGGGTCCTATAGCATCCTAGAGGCTAAGGGGGAGGTTGTGAGAGTTGTGGGCTCTTCACTGGGATCAATAACCCCCTTCCCCCAACAATCCGTTCGAGCTTACTTCTCATCATAGTGCAACGTGGGCCTCAGTGTCGACCCTGCCGCTGCTCTGCTCCTCCAGCTCCTGGTGTTCTTTTGGCATTTAGGGGGAGCTTCCGGCTAATCAATGGTTTAGATGGGCTTCGGCTTCGATGCAAGCTAGACAAATTGCATTCGCAGAGCCTTGCAACCACCACTCCCAAACTGGGCATGTGATCGTCGAGCGCTGTACGCTGCACTCCCAAAGCGCCTGCACATGCCTTCGAACACAGCACCGAACCCGGATGTACACGATCCCAAACAAGAACACCAAGCCAAAAAGAGAACTTTCAGTATCCTTTCAGTTTCTGTCACACTGAAGTTCTGTTCACGAACTTTCCCGCTCGCCTGCAGCAACGAGAGCGCATGTGTCCAGCGCGCGTTCTTGCCACAAGCGCTGGCTGCTGCCGAGTACGCCACAACCTGTGCGCGAATCCAATGGAAAAGGCAAAATATAAAACCAAGATGCTCGACTGCTTACACGGACTAACTATGGTTTACAGGGCCTTGAGTGCCTTCACGCTCGTGCGGGTTGTGGAGGGCGCGTTCGAGCTGATCAGGCTGGATATCCAGTAGCTTCAGCACATGGTAGGTGGCGGATGCCATGTGCCCCTTCAATTTATATGAATCCGCTCAAACAGGTGCAGCCCCGTTCAGGGGTCGAAAGATCCCATCTCGAAGCATGCTGCCTTTGATGCCACAAGACCTGCATTCTTTTCTGTACCAGAGCAGGTGGAAGAAGCCTTGCTCCATGCACTTGTCACACAAAACAAGTCTTGATGTGTTTGAGACATCGGAAAAGTCATGCGGGAAGCTGAACACAGATGATTTTCTGGTTTGGCAAAAGCAGCTGCTCGTCGAATCAGCTGGGCTGGTGCACAGGTTCGCAGTTCAAAGCCGCAGCCCCCTGCATGCGACCCAACAAAAACTCTGCTGCACACGACAGTGCTGAGGGACTTGCTGGGAAGCCGCAAGCTTCCACAGGCCCATGAGCGCTTTACTTTGCGCCAAGTCGTGGCTGCAAACGTTGCGCGCATGCGGCACGCACGTGCAGCACGCGCATGCGGCACGGGCAACATATGTGCGACGCTGGCTTGAGCATGTCTTATTGGGAAACGGGTGGCGCAGGTTATGACACTTGCCGTACCGCAGCAATTGTCCCACATTCCTCATAAGCACTACATGTCCACATGGCTCATCTTGGCTGCAGACTCCGAGTTTCGCCTTTTCGGGTTTCAACTTTAAAGTGTGCTTCGACTGCTATGGAGCTGCCAGGAAGCACTGGGTCCATGTCCATCCAGGAGGAAGGTGGCTCGCTGCCACTGGCAAGCTTTCCTAACATTGCGAAGCACCTAGGACCCCATGTAAAACAGGGTCTTTGCCTCTTTGCTGGATTGCGGGGCTGGGCTTCTGGCTCTACACTGGTTGCTGCTGCAATCAGCAAATATACCGGCACAGCCCAGGGCTAAACTCGCAGGCACTACGGACATTTGGATGTTGGGAGTTCGTGTGACTAATGCAAGCATTAGCTGGTGGCAGAACGAGAGCAGAACGCAAACTTATTAAAATTCCGCCAGAATACTCACAAGCGCTGATTGCGGCGCTGGACGCAACAACGTCGATGCGCAGGGACGTGCGCTGCGCCTGCAGGTGCTGCAAGAGGAGTTTATGGCGTCCCCGTCCACTCCTGTCTTGCAGACTTGAGGTTCTCCTTGCGTCAGAATTCTCGGTTCCTTGCCTGGTCCAGCACGTGAAGGGCCACTGGCCACCTGCCAGTTGAATGGAAGGCTCCAAGCTACTCCAGACTCCTCTGCAACCGCAAAATGCCAGAGGCAGAAGAGCGTGCCCAAAGAGACAGCTGCAAAGAGTATTGTAAGAGGCCATGCATGCACTGGCTGCTTGCTGTCCTAACGGCAGCTCAAAATTCTGCGGCCAGGTCTCTGGTTGCCCTTTTCACACGCGGAAATGGCAGTGCTGTAGAGGATGACATTTGCCTGCGTAGGCGTAGGCCCGTTGGACTCCGGAAGACCGGCCCTCCCCCTGGCCCCAGAAGCAAACTCCCAGAATCAGAGCAGACCGCCCCCTCCCCCCCCCCCCCCCCCCCCCCCCCAAGCCCAATAAGGGAGGATTTTCAACCCTGACCTACTGTGACGGCAACCATGTAGACTCTATAACCCCTGCAAGCAGAAGCCGTATGCGAGTGCCACCTCAACGTCGCTCCGGAGGGCAGCTGCCAAAAGGTGTAAAGATTGCTCCCAACGCCAGCCTTGAATGTCTCTGTAACAAGGTTAGAGGCCGCAGCTGAAAGTTGGAACTTTCTCACAATGAAAGCATATGGGGAGCTTGTTGAAAAGGCAGCTGAAGTTGAACGAGGTCTTCCAATCAATTAACCCAAAGTTTCTTGGACTTCCAAGAAGAAGAAACTGTCGAAAGTCTTTCTGTGAAGCGATACAGTCGAACAAGCATTCATACACAAACTAAGGTTTCCTGTTGCTGAACATGTTGGCGCAACCCCCAGAAGTGTGGCGACAGTCTCTCAGAGAAAGCAAGAAGCATCGGCCACAGACGCTCACGGCTGCACTGAAACTGGCTGCATCGGCCTCCGAGTGAAACATTTCAGGGCTCTGGTTCTGCGTTCGTATCATTGGGCATTTGAACGCTCCAGCAACTGAGGCAAACACGCTGAGCTATCATAATGGGCATGCCTAAAGCAAGCAGACCAAACAAAAACGGACAAATGCAAACTCAATTAATTACGTTCGTCGTCAGCGTGTGGTGGTCGACGGGCAGCGTTTACAACTAAGAGGGAGGGCGACTTGCCCAGCGCAACAGACCCACACCCACCACCTTGAAAATAAGCGGTATGCATGCATCATGTATGGATGCGTATGGTATATTCATAGATATTCGTACATGTATAAGTTCCCAATCATCACACTTTCGCACCGAGCCTGTAGCGACTGATGCGACAAAGCCCCCAGCACCTCCAATACGAATTTCAGGGTTCAGGTGGAGACATCTCAGTGGACTTTTGACCTCTGTGGGTCTCATAACCTATGCTGATCTCCTGCCTATAATCTTTGTGCCACGGACCCTGGGTGCCTCGAGAGCATACTGCCACTCTTCCGCATTCTCGCAGGCACTCAGGACTGCGTTGTAGGTGACCTCGTTTGCCTCGGAGTCAGATGCACATGGATGCACACATGTACAGCTCTCGTCGGCCCTCAATGTAAAAGGGGAAGATGTGCAGGGAAGTACAGGGCGCCTGCAGCATGGAGGAGCGCAGCCGCCGCAAGAAGAAGAAGGCCTGTTGCCAGCCCGCCGCTGCCGCGCAGGCCGCGATGAGCGAGGTGTAGATTGCCGTGTCGGCTTTGATCGCACCTTCCAGAGCAACGCGGTTCGCTGGCGTAGTTTCTACTGATGCCTACCGAATCGGCTCTGCTTTGTATCGACCCTTCTGCGGGGATCCATGTGAGGGGGAAACTTTTGCTTGGAAGTGCCACGGCACGGGCTTGTGCTTGAACCAGTAGCTGCAGAGCTTGTGTCCAATGGCCACCTGGGGCACAAGCACTGACAGCCGCACTGTACGCCACAAGGTTCGCACGGGAGGAGCGCTCGAAGTCCGCCAGCAGCTGCAGGGCCCTGGGCCAAGCATCTCCCCGGCAGGCCGTGAGCACCGCGCTGCAAAGAATTACGTCCACCCCAGTGCTTCGCTTCTGCGCCTCAAAGAGTAGGAGAGCAACCTGCCACTGGCTGCCTCGAGCACAGGCGCTGACAGCGCTGCTGTAAGTGACCACGCTGGGACTTGGGGTTTTCGTGAAGGCAGCCAGAGCTCTCTGCCACTGCCCGCCCTTCTCAAAGGCAGTGATGAGCGAGTTGTGTGTGATCAAGTCCGGCTCAAGGCTCTCACTATTCAGGCCGTCAAAGAGCGCCAATGAATGCTGCCACTGCTGTGCTTTGGCGCACATACTGATGGCTCCATTGTAAACCGCTGTGTCTGCTCGCGCGCGTTCGGCATGCAAAGTCTCCAGCAGTTGTAGACCCAAACTCCATTGCTCGCCCTTAGCGCAAGCGCTCAAGGCTGCGCTGTAAAGCACCTGAGTTGGTTTCAGCTTGTAAAACGCCAGCGAAATCCCATGCTGCCTGACATCTGGTGCCAGCTGCGTATCTGTTGGATGAGCATTATGAGAGAGGAACCAACTCATTAGTGATGACTTCGAACAAGCCCCTCGAGGCACTGCGGACGAGAATCCGGAGTCCGGGGCGAAGGGGCCAAAACGAAACTCTCCAAAGCAAGCTGCCAGCGGCTGTGCCGAGCACAGGCCTGCCAAGGGTGTTCAACGATGCCCAAGCGCCGGAGTTCTCGGGCTTTCGTGTGCTTTTGACTATCCCTGCATGGCTTCCCTTGTGCCACATGGCTCTCTCTAGCAGTATTTCGTGATTTTGGGAGCGTGCATCTAGACCTAGCGGCGTGCATGATCGGAGTGAAGATGGCCCTGAGACCTTGGCGCGAAGCGAACTACCGATTTTGGTACAAAGTCTGCCAAATATTGACATGCGTGTGAGTTTGCAAACGCCATTTCAAGCACCGCAGAAACTGCAGAGGCAGTCATCTTACGAGCGCATGAACATGTACAAGATCCATGTCGTAGACGTGCAAGCCTGCATTGCGACCATGAAGGGGTTGAATGGCAGCTTCGTGCCCCGCAAGTCCTGCAAAGAAAAGACGAAACTTCAGCACCGTGCTTATAGGATTAGGGGCGCACCATAGGTCTTAAACCCCTACAAAGATCCTCAACCCTGTGCCCTTATGATCGCAAACAGGCTTCGAGAGCCAGGTGTTGGATCTAAGCAAGCCCACCACCTCCCAAGCACTGATTGCGGTGCTCAGGAGTATCGGGCTGATGTTGAGGGTACTTTGCCGAGTGCAGAGGGAATGATCCTAAACGCTAAAACCTCCAAACCCCTACTTCTACAACCGGGACTGCTAAAACCCTAAACCCTAAACCCGAAACCCGAAACCCTAAACCCTAAACCCGAAACCCCAAACCCCAGCATCCCCCCACACAACAGCGTGGAGCCCCCGGGCCAACTCCAGCAGAGACAGTGCCAAGTCCCACCTGCCATCTTCGCCGCAAGTCTACCAGGGGGTCCGTTTAGAAGAGGTTAGGGTTTAGGGTTTAGGGTTTATAGGGCTTAGGGCTAGAGGGCTGGAAGCTTTCGGTCATATCAAGAATTTGCAGGGGGGAATCAGCTTGTGGTTTGCCATGTTGAGTTCCGGCTAGCCATGTGTTGCCGAAGCCCCCGCAGGTCCTTCCCCCCACCATCGGATTCTGCTGGAGGAAGCCGAAAGCCCAAAACGAGGAGAAACTGAGAGTGCAAAGTCCAGGTTTAGGGTTTACAGGGTTCCGAAATCTGTTTGAGCTCCTGAACCTTCATTAAGCCGTAAGCCCTGAGCCTTAGACCTTGAACTTGGGCGTTCGGCTCTCGCATACAGCAGCCGAGGATGAACCAGGGCTTGGGTTGAATTAACCGTAATTACCCCCCCCCCCCCCCCCAACAACCTTAACCCCCCAACTAACTTTTCCCTACGATACCGTTGCAAAGTTGCTGGGGGGAGGGGGGGCTTATGAATCAGAACACCCACGATCAAGGTGACAGTTGGGCGCATTATGGTGAGTTTGCGTCCCAGTGATTCGATCTGCACAGCGCAGGGCTTCGTAATGTCAACCTGAGTCAACCACCTGGACATCGAGACCCCGCGGCCCTTCAAAGAGTTGCCCCAGAAAAAAGACTCTTCCTTTTTTGTCTCTTGACATCGGTGAAAAGTGGCGATATGACTCCCGGATTTTCCGGGTGCCTAAGAGTGCAAAGTAAACCTCCCACAGGCCTCTCGGACACTGATTTTCACAGGGAGCCCGGAAGCGAAATGGAGACCACGAGCTGTATAAGGACTTGGTGGAGGGATTTGTTTGCGACAGAGCATTTCTGATGGCTGTAGACTAAAGGGCTTGAAGTTTTGCACGGGCCGCAAGGAATTCGACGCTCATGATCGGTTCTCAGGAGTGTGCATATAAAAGAAGAGCTATGCTATACGAGTCGCCTTGAGCTCTGCTGGGCATGCCAAACCCTTGTCACATGCGTTCGCCCTCCATGGTGGCTTGCTTCGGTGGCTTGGCGATCCGGAAATTCTGAGTTCGCTGGATGGCATTCATCTTATGGGTCCCACAGTCGAAACAGCAGAATTGCGAGCCGGATTTTGCAACCTTCATCAACTTCTCATGGTTTGGTGTCTTGACGAGCTTGCCACTTTCATCAAGATAAGCGACACGCCGCACCAAGTACTGAAACCCAATCCCCCCGGTGGTGTCCAATGAGTCGAAGGAGATTCGCATCATGTCATCACCGGGAGTCACGTCAATCACTTCCCCGTCTGGTGTCTTGAACACATCTTCTGGCTGAATGACGTAGATCCAGTGGGATGCCTTTGTCTCCGCAAAGGTAATGTGAGTCCACTTGCCGTTGGGCGACGTCTCAAGCAAGTGCCCGCCACCCGTCCAGTAGCCGTTGCACGTCAAAATTAAGCCCCACAGGTTCCACGCATCAATGGTCCAGTTGTACTTGGAGATCTTCCTTACAATGTGACAAACTACTTGACTTTTTCTTGCAGACTCTTCAGTGTTGCCATGCCTGCAAAGTGGCCTCGTGAAGTGTGCGCCTATACAAGCCTGAAGCACATCTACAACGGTACCAGCATCTACACACTGCAAGCAAGCATCATTCCCGTTGACTCGCTCTGCCAGTCCGCATCATGGAAGGTGATGATGCCTTCTCCGGCAATGTTGTCCTGCAGCCACCAAGCTCCTCAAGTCAACGGTGGGGGGGGGAGGGGGGGAGGCAGAAGTGTTCCCAAATTAAGTGTACCCCAAATATACCCCCCAAATGCTGTAATCCTTATATGTAGGAGCCCCCAGAAAGGGTAGTGCCCTAATTTATGAAACTACCCACATCTAGCCATGGAGTTCTCGTCCACACCGTCCTTTGAGGTGCTCGGGAGCATTTTTGTGGCTCGGCACCTTGAGCATCTGTTCTAACCATTCATCCCCGGCCGTGATGTCCGCAAACCTGTTCCTGTACTCTTCTCACTCACAACAACACAGCACATACTGCTCTTCAGGTGCTGTTTGTTTAAAGCATCTTAAGGCATGAGGATTCAAAAGCAATTTCGAGAACAGCCAGGATTCTGACAACATGGGACCAAGCACAACCTCGCCGGTGGAATGAGGCAGCAAAGCGACGATTTGGCGGCGCAGTACATGAACTTTGTGAAGCACTGGTTGGCCTTCTGTGGCGGGTCGTACAACTCCGGCAGTTTGGCCAAGTTCTGCCAAGCCTCAAAATCTTTGGGGGCCATTGACTTCATCCCAAGGACGACTTGGTGACTTTGTTCGAAGGCCGCCATGGCTGCAACTGCTGCAGCGATCTCACTACTCGCTTCTTGCGGGAAGTGGCCTCACAGAGATGCACTTGGGCCAGGAGACGGCTGGAAACGCCCCCCCCAAAGTTTGCTTGCGCAAAAGACTTCTCGCTTGCCCTCAGCTGCAGTGTGGCCTTACCCTAGAGCTGCCCTATGTCTTGAAGACTTCAACCACAATGCCTGAACCCGACAGCCGACCAACGTCCACAGTCATGCAATGCATGTACTCTCTCTTCCGATCTTCCGAAGGACGTCTCTCGAACTGCGGCCCTTCTTGCTGTAAATCTCCGAAGCTTGTCCCGAAGTGGGCCTTTGACTCGCCAGCCCTTTGAACTTTGCACCCTCCTTCTTGTCGAAGTTACCTGTCAGACTGCGGTATGTCTTGAAGTCTTCTGTTAGGGCCTAAGGGCTGACAGGGTTTTCCTCTGGAGTGCAGAAAGCAGCTGCTCATGGTGAGACTGAGAACCACCCCGAAAACATCATCATTTTTCTGCCAGGGCGCCACCCCGTCGCGCCATGTCAAGGTAGGCCTCCATGCCTCATGATTGTATATGGGATCTCGGCTCTCCTTGTCTGGATGCGCTTGCGACTCATGCCCTCCAACCCTGTTCGCCCGCGCTAGCTCTGAGGAGCTCAAGAACGCAAACGTGGAAAAGCCGAAATCCACAGAGCATCGGCTTTCTGAGGCTGGTGGATTCTTGGGGGATTGTAGGTGCAAATTGTCGCAAAGCCCTGTCCTGCTGAGTGCATCTTCGCATGGCGCTCAAGCGGCGTTAGGAGACTCACCGTATCAAGAGCTGCTCTAAGCAAAATCCTCTTATTATCCACGTTGCCAAATTGTCCAGACATAGATCTGCAACCTCTTGAAGGCTGTGCAGCTTGCCACACCCAAACTCAAAACCCCCCGAAAGGAAAACCGAGAACGCCATTCTCAGCAAGAAGCCCATCGACTGGCGAGCTCCACAGCAGGCAGAGCACCCATGGCTGGGCCGGAATAAGCGCCAGGATCCCTAGTTACTTAGAACAGTTCAGTTTTTGCCACCCATCAAGCTTATATCGGCTTGAGGATTTGTACCGGATGTCTGTACGTTTGCATCTTGAAGTTTCCGCGATTCAAGCTTCTCTTGTTCAGCACTGTAAACCCAAAACAGTGAGACAACGCCATGGGGATTCAACATTGCACGTTCAGGCTATAGGGAGGATGAAGTTGAGGTCGCGCCGCGGCGCTCCCACAAGCTTCGGGGGTCGCTGATTGCGAAATCCAAAGCAAGGTTTCCGCGTCATCCGACGTGGCAAATTGTCACACAAGTCTCGTAGGCATGCCATGTTCAAAATGCAGTTGCAAATGGTGCTCTCAACTCGGCCCCACGCCCATGCTCTCATAAAGTGAAGCATGTCGACGCTTCTGAGAGTTGTCTTGAGGTGGGTTTTGGCATGCCCTTGGGGTTGCTCAGGGCATGGTCTTGATTTCGACAACTTCACTTGGAGATGTCTTACAATTACACTACATGGGGTTTTATGCGGGCACAAAAACAAATTTACACAGTAATATTCTACATATATATATATATATATGTATATTGTTAAGATACCTTCGGACACTGACTCTTCGTCTATTGATACCCTTGCCTGTAGTTATCTAAAAAACACTCCCGGCTTGGCTCAAAAGTCGCAAGTTTAGGGAGCTGCGCGGCCCAACCTGGGAGTCCCGCAGATGTGCAAAGTCGAAGGGCAGGACAGGTATACTCTTGGGGTTTCCGATCAGTGTAGTCACGGGCGCAAGCCGTGTAGCAGAACAAGCTTAGGATGGAAGAAGCCTGCAAACTACAACTCTCGAATTGTGTAATCATACACGGCCTTTTCTGCTCAAGCCCCGTTGGTGGTGACCTCCCGTGCGGCCAAGCGCCCTGGGGACGGCCCGCCGATATCACTTAGCATCGCCGTCCTTGCACCTTGCACGGAACTAAAAAAAAGCCATGTTTATGGACTCACCTTGCAGGCGGAGGCCTCTACCTAGTACCAAAGTGTCCTGGTCATGCGTTTTGAGTGTGGCTTTCATCAATTGAACCACTCTCATTGTGCTTCGCTTGCCTCAAGCCTCACTGCCACGCTGGCTGACACCACAATCCTAGTCCTAACCCAATCTCCACACATTCGGCAATGGCACGCGTCCATGAGTTCAGCGGGCTCCAGAAGGTGTTGCTGCTCCTCACTGCAAGCAAGCGAGAGAACTTCTACTTCGTCCACCTTGCCCTGCAGCACGTCTCCCTCAGAAAGGCCGTCCCTCCCTCTCACTGCCAACACTATCCCTGCCCACTCAAAGCTCCAAGGCTGCGGCTCTAGCCGACGTGGGGGCAGCCCTGGCAGCTGCAGCGGCATCAACGGCTGCCGGGGTTCCGGCATCGTCTCCTGCAGAGAGTAGCCCTTTCGGAGTGTTACACGGCGAGGCGAAGGTTTGTGCCGCGTTGCTGTAGACTGTTTCGGGGCGGGTGCAGGCATGCGTGAAGCCCTGGAGGTCTACGACTGCAGGAATCCATGCCAAGGGTCATCCGGAACCCCTAGTGGGCCCTTAGCCCCCCCCCCCCCGGGGGCTCAAGAATCTGAGCCCTTCAAGTCCTCAGCTTCTGGGTGCTGCAGGCAACCCGGAGCACTGTCGGCACGCCCGCCGCCCTTGATGCACGGGTGCTAGCCCATGAACTGCTCTTTAAGGGTTTTATGCAACTCTGACTAGAAACCATTAGAAACTGGCACGTGAGCAAGAGCCCAACCTGGGATGCAGAACGCCTGAAGCAAGCAAAAGCCTGTAGCAGCGTTTCAGAAGCTCACCGCTGTAAAAAAGGGAACCCCAGTTCAAAACAACCTATAAAGCGGGAATGCCTTGCGCAGCCGGCGAAGAGACCTGGGATTGCATCCATCTGCCTGTTATGTGTTAAACATGGTTTCATGGCTTCCTTTTCGGATGTCCTAACATGCTGATTTGTGCGGGCTTCAAAAACTCAGAATGTTGAAGGCCCTGCGCATAAACTGCAGTTCAGGAATCAAGGTTGAATGGATTCGGTTGTGTTCACGAGCCTGTGAACAGAAACGTGTCACGAGCCGTTTCTGCCTCAAGCGACGTGCGAACCGGGCGTTCGGACTGCCTCTACTGCGCATGCTGTGTGAAGACATGCCAATGCCACTATTCCTAAACCAACTCAGAAAGTTCTAAAGCCTTGCTGCAACTCTCCGATTTTGCATTAATTACACGAATGTTCATTTCACACTTTCATGTATTTTCTTGCTGTCTGAATTAGCAATGAACTTGGGGCTGTGCAAACTAAGGATTCATTCTCAATGTCAAAGGTGGGTTCGTATGATCTGCAATTAGCCCTTGGGTCAAAAGTTGGGGTTCGTATAGTCTCACATACTTAGCATTCGACGCCCATGGGGTCGAAGCTACACAAGAGAAACGGGTGGCCAGGATTGTGCTGAAGCCCATTTTGGTTGCATGTGGGACCAAGCAGACGACCTACCATTCGAAGCAAACATCGAATTAAAAGTACAGTGGACCTTGAAGCCCTGCAGCCCCACGGCCATTCCGAACCCAAATCTCAAAAACCAGCGCGCTGCAGTAGCCCTGAACCGCGACACCAACCTGTATCCCAAGTACTACTGTAACCGCCCCTTAGAAAACTGTGTACATGTGTACACACACACACACATATATATATATAATTATGTGTGTATTATACTCCAACGGCTCATTGGAGAGGCCAGTTCGGTGCCCGAGTCGAGGGGCGGATTTCTTGCCAGGATCAGAGCCAGCTGCCAGCGCTGCCGCGCACGAAGGCTCGGTGGGCCGGGCCTTATTAGTTCAAAAGAGGGTTTAGATGGGTTTAGAATAGAGGGTTTGAGGATCTATAAGGGTTATGAGGGTTGTAGGGTCCGAGGCTCGCCCTGTTTTGGAGATTGTCTACGCCTTCTACTTTATGTCATCCTGTGAAAATATGTAAAATTAACACGCGAAGCCCTGGACCATGAATTAAGAAGAAAGTCAGAGCCGCAAGGCCTCGCTGCGATTCGCAGCACTATTCTGGCATTTGGGGGGCTGAGTTTGGATGTCATTACAACAAGCTTCGGCGAGCCTCGCTTCAGGACTTGGGGTTGGGGGCATGGATTGAAAAGACCCCGCCTAAAGATTGGATCTTTCAGGTGCGATGGCGGCTTTCGGAGGAGGTCGCTTTCAAGTCTTTTTGGGGAATGAAGACGAGCCAGGGTTTGCACGAGGTTCATTCCCGAACATCCTATCAATTTCCATACTCAGATCAGCTTCTGATTCCCAACCTTTCAGGTTTTTCCATCATGGCTGGGCTGTAGCGTTGTCTCTAGCAGTGTCCAGCACAGGCTCTTGGCCAATGCTGCCGGTGCCGCACATGCAGATCCAGCTGTGCTTCAGGATGTTGGAACACGATGCCTTGTCGCGCCGCCATCACGTCCACGACCACCAGCTCAGGCCAGGGCCCCGTATGGGAACTCGTATACTGAAACCGCTCGTCATGGAAGACTGTGATCTTCTTCAGGGAGCTGAGGCCGGAGAGGAGGTGGCAGAGTCCCTGGCTTATCGCCATGCGCGCCTCACTTTGGGGGCTTGCGCTGTAAAGGCCACAGAGGTTCCAGGTGAGCGATTTCAACTTCGAGCCCGCGAGGGTGAAGAGGAAGTCGCGCAGGTGCGATGGGTCGAGATCTGCAGCCGGAAACGACATGACCAGACCTTCAACCTTGGTTCTTTGTCCCACGAACTAATCATTGGCCAGTCACCTGCTGTCATCTATGGAGTCACTGCAATCAATGCTTGCCTACTCAGCATGCACTAGCCATTGATTCCCGCTTCAGAGCCTCGTCTCGGCAGATTGATGGAGCCAACATCGACAGGCTTCTCGCATCAAATGGGACTGACAGTGAGAGCTGGCAACACCCGGATGGCCATTTCACCGCAGCAAGCCTCTCTGTCAAGAGCTTGCATCCAGTGAGGGACAGATGCCGGAGAGCGAAAGAATCTACGCATCGTTGCAAGGCCGCGGGGAAGCCTTGCCGCATTGCTTCACGCGCACTCACGCACAAGCCTCAGCAACCGCATCATGCGACAATCACAAAACAGCTCTTGGTTTACCTCAGTGACTTGAAGAAATTGCACACCTTGTTAAAGGTGCATTCGGGAGCCCAGGAGCAAAGCGTATGCAGGTGTGGCAGTGCCGTGGAAGATGCAGTGAGGGCATCTAGTTCACGGGACTCAGGCTCAATATCTCCCCGGTGAAAAATTGGCCTTACCATCGGGCTCAGGGTTCAACAATGTTCAATTACTAGCTACCTGCTAGCTTCTAGAATTCATGCTCTTGAGCGGTCATAGCTGGCCTGACTGCAAGGTGTAAGATGCGAAGGTCGGTGAAGGCTGGCAAAGCCTGGACCACGTCGAACGCTGGGCAGATGTGGTCTTCGAAGTCTTTGAAGTCGTTGAAGTCGGCCTCCTGCAGTGAAAGCTCCTCAAGAGCTGGACAGCGGCGTAAGCTCCGCAGCAATGGTACCAGCTCAAGTCGCTTTCGTAGCCCGAAGATGGCTACACGCCGGAGCTTTGGAAAAACGCCAAAGAACCAGCCCAGGCACATGCTGAAGCGGCAATCACTTGTGGGTTCCGTTTCATCAAGGGTTGTGCTGTCGTTTCCCCAGACATCCTCGCATCCATGGTTCCAGAGCTCAAACTCCACCAGCTCGGTCCTGTCAATGGCGGGCAGGGCGTGCATCATTCGCCGGTCTACGCTTAAAGCGTCGGCATAGTTCAACAACAAGTAGGGGACGTTCAGCAAGCCGCTCTTCGATACGCACCATGCACGAACTCGATGGCTCAAGACACTGGCAGCAGCAATAGTGAAAGGATCCAGCATGGGAAGCATTTGCTTCCAGATGTACTTCCTCTCCACGGCTGCATGTTTCGATGCTCGACCTTCAGGTTCAACTGCCATCCCACTCAAGAGCATGCACCATTCTCGAAGGCACAAAGCCGCCGAAATTTGGGCAATCCAAGTCGCCCTACAAATCTGGTTGCTTCGGGTTTTGCTCTTCGCGTTTGCTGGTGCGCCAGTATTCTGCTACTGTAGTTGCCGAGCAAGATGTATGCATGCCCCTGAGGTGATATGCACGCTGCCAAGGCTGTGAAGCCGTGCACCTTCGGATCTTCAACTCACGCTGCCATGAAGACGCACGGAGACCAAGACTGAAAGAGCGACAGCAGTTTTGCAACTTCTTCCGCCTGTGCAACCTCTACAAACCTTTGACCCTGAACTCAGTGGAGCTCGACCACCAGCACCCTATACAGGAGCTGCCTACGTGTGTACGTATGAGGTAGGACTTCGAAATAATTCGAAGAGTACGAGACTCAAGAGGGCCATGGCATCATGCCCAGGCAGCATAACCACCGGTAGGCTGCTGTCTGCGTAAAGACTCAATTGATGGAACCCTGTTCTCGAACGAGACACAATACGAGAAACCCTAAACCCTAAACCCTAAACCCTAAACCCTAAACCCTAAACCCTAAGCCCAGCGCGCAGTTCGTGCCCGGGATGGTGGGCACTGTGTGGGGGTTGGCAAGGCACCTGGGAGGCAACCCTCCACTCAACACTGACGCAGTCTTTGCATATAATTATTAGGGGCACCGGATGTCATGCTGAGTTCTTGCTGATCAGACATGCTCCTAGACTGGTGAGCACCTCTGTGAAATTTTACGCCCGGACATGTCTGATAGGTATGTGATCCGAGACCACGATGGCATTCATGGCCTGTTCGTCTATGTGCCATTCTCGAGGTCAAAGCCGAATGCGTTACACTTCCAAACACCGATGCAGTCCTCCACATCAGGTGCGAAAGCCAGAAAGAACTCTCAAACCAGTACAAACAGCTCTTATAGCCAAAAGAAGCCTACCTCGGTGATCCCCCTGCACGTCGCTGTCTAAGCGCGTCGCCTTGGGCAGCTGTCTCCATGTAGCCCATCTCTTGCTCCTCCTGCAAGGGCTCGGCGTGTGGCGTGAGATTCCGACGCTTGCGCCTATATGCGTCTGTAGGCCCATGAGAAAGCTTCGACTCGAAACGCCTAACAGACCAGGAATTCAAGCCGCGAACCGGAGTCCCGAGTATGAAGCCCCCCAGCCCTGTGAGGCCTCGAGGCAGGTCGGTACCGGCTCGGCCGATGTCTCCTGCAGGATTTGAGGGCTTTAGGAGTGTGTGCACGCTCCTGTTCCTCTGAGAAGGTGTGAGAAGTTGTCCCGTTTCTCGCCTCGTGCTCTTTGGAAAGACACATGATGGAACCGCCCAACCCATTTTGAAGCTGTCCTTCTCTAGCCCGAGCCTGAGAAACACAGCAGTGCCAAGGCAAAGCGCACCCGAATGGCAAGGATCAACAAAACAAAGAAGAAAGCCGTCCTCAACGGAAAACTGATGGAACAAAGCGAAACCCCGGATGCCCAAATGTTCTGATCTGGTAAACCTCGCGAAAGCTGAACAAGTGGCTCCTGAGACGGCTTCTTGGCAAGCTCCGCTACAGTGGCCAGGAGGATGGGATTCAGCCGCCTTTCAGGGGCGCTCGTATGCGGAAGGCCACAAAGTAGGCCGCAAAGTAATTGTAGGCGCGCAGCTCGAATCAGTCTGAACTCCACCCTGGGCCGGCCCACAATCTTAGCGGCCTCTGTGAGTGCATCACCAAAGACACGAAGGGCTGGAAAGACCAATCCCAATCCTGGGTCGCAGCATGTCACCCTCTTCAGCCCTTCACGAATTCCGCTCTTGAAGAAGAGAGTCCCAGACAGCAAATTGTCTCCGAGCTTGCTCGGCTTTTGACGTGGATACCTTTATGTTGATGGAGGAAATGAAGTCTTGCACCACTTTTCCTAATTGCGGACTTTGTTGTTTGCACCCTGCACTCTGTTTAAACATGAGACTGTAGAGTCTGCGAAACGGAAGCTGTGCCATTGACAAGCGCCTTGCGCCTTGCATCACCTCAAGCAAACGAAACGCGTGGCAATGTGAAGACGGGAGCCGGGGATGTGTCGGCAAAATCCACCACCGTAATTATACCGAAAGGACATGAAAAGCCCTTTTGAGAGGAGTAGATGCCTAAAAAGGCGGAGGACATAGGGAACAACCAGGCCCATATGGTGCAGTCAGGCATCACAGAGGTCGCTCGGAAGGTAGGTGATGTCTATCCTCTGAGGCACAGGGCTCCACTTTACTAAAGGTAAAGTACTATAAGGTAGGGGGAGCCAAGGATACCGTGGAAACCACAATTCCCCAAGGGGAAGAGCAGAACAGTCTGCTGGTTCGGGCATGTAAGAGAGAAAACTCTGCTGGCTTGGTTCCCATTGCTTTCAGGATGTGTCTGCTCTGCATGTGTTTTGCATGGCAGAGCTGAAGGATCTCGGTGTCTTTTCGCCCCGATAGTTTTCCTCTTTGCTCACTGCGCACGGCCTGCCAATCCTTCGCAAAAGGGCGCTTAGTCTCATACATGGAACAATGAAGGACCACCCGGCAATTGCTGCTTGAATGCATCCTAAACCTCTGAGGCCTAAACCCGACACGGCCTCCTGGGACTTGGGAAAACTTACTGTGAGGCTCCGGCCGAAAGAAGTGGATCAGCAGGTAGGGTGCAATGACCTTGACTGCAAAAGCTTGCTGGCCCTCCCCACATCCCAGCATGCATCCTCCCAAACATCAGGCAACGTATGGATTCACGAAAGCACCATGCGACGAGCCCAGCAGGAGACAGATGTTACTGTGCTTGTGAGTTTTTGCCGGGCGGTGCGAATACATATTGTCTTTTCCAGCTTCGGGAAGCTCGCTCATCTCGAAAGAGGCAGCCGAGACTCGACTACATGGCACCAGTGCTAGCAACATCGTGCTGCAATATAGTTTCAGGCAGTTTCGTTCAGTTCAGAAGGGGACCCTTTTCAAGCCCTCGCATCACTGTTTAAATGGCGTCCCGATACCCTTCGCGGACTCTTGCGGCCTGGCTGCAGGCTTAACCTCGCGAAGCTTTAAAGCCTGTAATCACATCTTCATCCGACCGGATTATGGCGTTGAAAGAAGAAAACCAGCTGAGTCCAATGCCAGGCTTCGAATGACGCCACCTCAGTTGATTTCATGATCCCCATGACCCTCAACGCTGAGCCTCAACCTTCATGATACATGCGCAGCTTCATGGAACACCCGTCGCAGAGTCTTGCAATAACATGACGTACAGCACCTTGTAAACAACAAATAACCGAAGCCCCCTGGTAGAGACATGGGGGAAGATGTTCGCTTCGGGTCTCAAGGGATCATGGCGAGCAGCTCACGATACCCGAATACAGATTACGGTGCTTCTTGACATAGTCTGCAGACAACGCATACTAGCCGACAATTTAAACCCCGAACCTGTTTGCTTCTTCTTCTTTCTTCTTTCTTTGTCTTCTTTCTTCTTTCTTCTTCTGCTGCACCCTTCTGCACCCCTGCTACAAGGGAGATCCGGCCGCTGTGAAAAAAGATCTGTTTTTGTCTTGGGATACAACTCTCTCTTCCCTCTGTCCCTGTCTTGCAGTGGAGGCCAGAGTGCTGGTTGCACCCAGCACGAAGTTCAGCAGCGTGAGTGTTGGGAAGACGAGATCCCAGACCTTCGACCCAAAACACAGAGATCCAAATGCTTCGGCCGCCAAGAGTCCGCAGAACAAACTCCACACGACTCGGTGATGTGCTTGACAGGGCAATTGGGTCTATCAGGTTGCTGCACGGCTTGGTTGGGCAGCTCCCTGTTCCCCCAATCATGAAACGATTGAATTACAACTCAAAGACACTGGAACAGTCTCAACAGGACTTCAATCATCACAGGGAAACCGGGCTCTGCTTGTGTCGAGGGGCACGCCGCCGCAACACAGAGCCATCAGATGTCACCACGCGCTGTGGTATAACCCACCTGCTTGGCAGAGGACTACCGGTGTCCCTCGTAATTTCTCTAGGTGCATAAAGAGGTATTCAAACACTACATCGAAAACTGGACACACAATCTTGTAGAAATGAGAAACTTAACAAGCAACATGATAAAGCATTTAAAGCACATCAAGACTATAAGCATTCCAAACATCATAAGCCCACATTGTAAGCCCTGCCGCGTCTGCCGGATCCAGACCACCCTAAGGGGCCATGTACCTAAATAGGGACTACTTGGGGCCTTGAATTACCTCCTATTTCGGGACTTTGGGGCCCAAGTATAGACCAATATGAGGTACATGGACCCTCAGGCCCAGGATTTAGGAAAATCTTGGAGGCGAGAGACCGGAAGATGCTCCAGCGCGTGGCGTAGAGCAGTCCCTGGGTTAGGGAGGGTTTATCGGGTTCAGCATAAAAATAATACTGGTGGAAAAATACCCTAATTGAGAACAGTACTTTTTATGTTTACATGCGACTTTGAAGGGACAGCTCGAGGACTCAGGGTTTCGACTGTCACACTATAGCGCTTTAGGGCGGAGGTCCGTTTAGGGTCTAAGTTCGGTAGGGTGGTGGAGGGTCGGCTTCGAGCCCTGAAATGTGAGGTGACTCATCCGAAGCCACCTTGCCAAAACATTCCTCCGACCCTCGACAGCCAACTGAAATCTTAATTGCAGGTTGGGGTCGTAAAGGATCCACCAATTTCGGAGGCCCCATTGGGCTTCCCAGAACTGAGGCAAGCTCAACCTCTGAAAAACAGGCTGCGCCGAAACTGCCAAAGACTTGTCTCAACACACCCTCAGAAGTTGTGTCATGCTTGGAACGAAAATTGCTCAAAACAAATGCCTGGGCTAAGGGCATTCCCTGAACTGTTGGGTTGATTTGGACTTAGTTCAAGGGTGGCGGGGCGCCCTTGTGCCTTGGGGGTTAGTGTTCAAGCCCGAGCTTGCAACTGCACAAGACATCTGGGGGCTGCTGACAGGCAGCACAAGGAACAGGAGCCAAAGGACAAACATGAAGAGCACCTCAGCAGACATCTTCATCCATTGACAAATTTACTGAGGCTGCAAGCAAAGGCACAGAGGCATCATAAACGCTTGCGAAGTGTCCACAGAGTTCAGGTAAGCAAGTCCCAGGACACCGGACGGCAATTCTCAGCAGTTGATTCTTGCTTTAAGGGCAGCTGCGCTGCAAATCATATACTTGTTAACACAAGGAAGCTTTGAAGAGTTCAAGAGCTAAAGATAATCGGTGCAGCTGAGACACCAGTGCCATCGCCTGAGGCATTTTGCAGATTCATGCGCCCAGCTCACGACTATTCACCATGCAGGTCCAGGGGGTGGTACTTCCATGTGGCGATGAGTATGAGCAAGCATGGCATTATCGTTTGTATTGTTGTGACCCTCCCGCTGATTTTGCAGTGCAGAGGAATCAGCATACGTGTGTCCTAATACACGCACTTTTGCTTCAAGAACCCCTTTCAAGTGTTCATACGCACCTCATGTCAGGGAAAGCCTGACGACTTTCAGACCTAAACCTGCTAAGGCCGTGGACTGTGGCAGGCAGCGGCTGGTATCAAAGAATATCAAGAGCTCAGCACCACGCGGCGTTACCAATCAAGGCGCCACAGGTGTAGGTGGCCCACCTTCGCAAGTCAAGTGAAGAACACAGTTCAAGCCTGGGGCCTGGGCCCTTCGAGCGGGCAGTACGATTGCTGTCAGCGATCGAGCAGAGCGTAGTCCCTGCAAGGTCCAAGAAGTTCAGTTCAGCAGATCAGGGCGCCCGTCGCGTTTGTGCAATACGCGAATAAGATTCATTCTTGCCAGCATGGACTCATACAGGTGAAAGACGAAGCCCGGACGTGTGCACTTATTTTTGGATCCTGTAGGGGCCTGCATGTCAGCTGCCATGTTGCTTTTAAATTGCAAGAGTGGTGACGTACACACTGCAGTGAAAGAGCCTGCGCTGTTCAACCAGATGCTCTAAACCGGACCTCAATCAATCACTTTGACTGCTCAGGAAGTCGAGCCACTGTGCGTGGAAGACGCTGGGCCCCACTGCGCGAACGAGGTCCTCATGATTGAGCAGGCCTCCGTCAAATAGGGCGCCGAACAAAAACCTCTAAGGGAAGCCTCTACAAGGTCCCGACCCTGAATCTCACCTCGCCGAGGAAAGCTTAAAGCCTAACACCCACAAAAAAAAGGCGCCACTCCCGAGTCCTGGCCATGGTATCGCCGTCCCAGTGACATCTCCCGGAACATCCTGACAACTTTGCGTTCGTGAATTTTCAGGTCGCGCGAGACCGCCCCCAGGACCACTTCTTTGGAAGGTCAGACCCGAACCCTGGAACCTCATACACATCTTGCATCTTGTTTGAACCCCTTCGGACTTGGTAGTACCCCCTATGAATGATCCTTGTTAAGGACCGTTGCATAGAGTAACGGGGAGCATCCCAACTTAGGGGCTCAACCTCGTAGCACCATCGCTACCGCTATAGGCCGGTCCTCCGGTAGCCACGAAGTACCTGAGGACCGCCGTCACAAAAGATCCATGTTCCCCAGAAGCCTAAACAAAAGACCGCCACAAGCAACAACAACAAAAAGCAAACAACGTTCAAAGGCTTTACATGCACGACTTTGTGTCCGACCTGTGGAAGATCAGGGGCTCTCCCGGAGCAGGGTCTGAATCCAAGCCGCCGAGCGCATCAACCAAATAAGGTACACGCCGCAGCACCTGGGGGGCTCACCGGCTCCACCAGGTGCCGCTAAGAACCGGGTGTGACGGCTAAGGGTATAAGAACATCTCACGCCACGCATCGTTAGGGTTCTGAAGCATCCTCAAGGCATGTAGCTAGCATGCTGCAAGTGGACATGCATACATCATTACAAGCCAACAAACCCTGAGCCCTGAGCAGCCACGCCAAGTAGAAGGTGACGATTATCCTGCACTTCGTTTGCCCAGTTGGGTTTGGAGCTTGGCAAAGCTTAAGGCATCTGAAGGCAGGATGACTATCGCCATCTACCTTCCCACACACGTAGTACCTGAAACTTCGACCTACTGCAGACCGCGCCTTGTCTGGTGGACATCTTCTCCTACCTACTTTCGCATCAGACTCTGTATCGGCACTACTTGTAACTTTTTGCGCTTGCAGCTGGCTTTGGACACGCTCTGGTGCCGGAGGATGCAAGTCGACAGGTGGTGGGGGTGGGATTTGCAGTGGCTTTGGTTCCTTCCCTGAGTCTCCAGACATTCCTAGCCACTGCTCGTCATAGCCCCCGAAGGTTCGAGGAGTGAAGTCAGAGCAGCGCCGGGCAGCGCTCAGACAGCGGCACCGCCAAGAACTCAAACGCTTGGCTTCGCCGGCGTCCTTCATGGGGATGTGTCTACAGGTCCAGGTGAGGGAATGTGAGGGATGGGCATTCGGGTTTCCCATTGCACAAAGGGAATAAAGGGAAACATAGGCTAAGCCGTCTGCCGGTCATGATGCAGTTCAGAAGCTTGGGGACAAGTGGGAAGAGTCGTCCTTCTTGCTGGACGCTGCTGAGCAGGAGGAAAGCAGCACCAACCTGTGGCTGTTCATGATTTCTACGTGTTGTTGACTACACGTTCGTGCGACGCTCCAAGATGTCTTCACGTGATTCGTCGCAAATGTGTCACGATCCCGGGCCACCCCTGGCCCCTAAGCGGCAGGAATCCAAAACTCCACGACCGATGAATTTTTCGACCGTAGCTTCCAGAACACCGACCCAGTCTGACAATGCCCTCTTCCACCCCAGAAACAACAAGCGTCGTTCGATTTCTCGTGTGGGAGGGGTGGATGGCCCGGGGGCAGAATACCCTAGTCAGGATCCATATTCTCCATACCCATGCTTGCCACGCTGCCGCGAAGGAATCTGGCGCGTTCAGGGGGAACGCCCTCAGCTCGAGTCCACCAACTCGCCCTAACCCTTAACCGCAGTTTCTGCTTTTGGGCAACTTCTCACAGGACTACGCATCTTTGCACTATCTAAACCGGCCGATTTCGGTTCCCCAAAGCTCTTTCACTCTGCAGCTTGAATCTAGGGGCCGCTTGCACCTAGGAACGTTCTTGACTTAAGAGGAATCGTACAGCATCCTTTGCTTTTTGTTTGCAGGGAGGGGGGAGGGGGGTATGTCTCCAAAATTGCGCATGAGGGGACCTGAAACGCACTGGAACCTGCCAAGCCCTTATTTTTGGCCAGAGCCAGAATCTAGATTGCGGAGCTGCGAAGGGGCTCTATCTCCATCCCTTGGTCAGCCCTTTTTGAGCCGCTGAGCGACGCTGAGATCGAGATGTCCACATCTGGTGCATCTGGGCCACTGAAGACCGGAAACCTGGGACGCAGGAAGCAGGGGCCGGCTCACAGAGTCTGACTGGAAGGGGGACAAGAAAAATCACAAGCCTTTTATAGCCAAATCCCAAGAGGCTTGGAGACTGAAGCCGTCTCGCTCTCGAGAATGGGGGGCTGCGGGTATGGGTAGATGGGCCTTGGATTGACAAGCAGAAGCAAGGCCATTGGTACTTGCAGCAACATGCAACAGGACTCCCCAAGAACCCGGCACGAGCAACCACGCACGGGGCAGATGAAAGGTCTGAATCGGTTTGAAGGTCTGGAATGCCACAATTCTGGACCAGGCGCTTCAGCGGTTGGACTGGTGGTGGGAACTCCTGGCCATTTCCAAGTGCAGAAACCACAAACATCAAGCACAGAACGGCGCTCCTCCAAATGCTTGCCTCGCTTGAAAGGCCCAACAATGTCTTCGTTGGCCTCAATCCGACATCAAGCGTAGGCCGAAGAAACCACTCTCTCACGTGTAGCCATCATCTCGCTGCATCCATCACTGCAAAACCATCGGGGGGCTGAATCGGTGAGGTTACAACTTTTGGCCACGGCTTGCAGGGTTCGGGGTTTGTGTGCAGGGTGCTGTCTTCTGAAAAGACAGGCTTCCCGACAGGCGCATGCCAATGATTCATGTTTGAACAAAGTAAAAGTTGTGACATGGTCACGATAGCATGCAGTCAGCACGTCATGCGGCTGTCTACTGCGTTTTAGAGCAAGCAAGCCTCAACAGTCCGCCAAAATCTCGGGGTGGGCGTGGGTTCCTACTCGGCAGAGGGCCTTGGCCAGCTCCTTCGCATGGTCCACCACATTCCTTTGCCCCAGCAGAAGAATCACTGAATAATCAAAAGCAAATGGGTGGCTCGTGAAGACAACATGCACCCATCTGCGGAATCTACGGAGCCCGTGTGCCCCAAGATAGCAGCGAGGCGCTGTCTGTACTGCTGCTTCGGCGTGAGCTCTTGTCCAGTTCCCATGCCACCCATGCCACCGCCTGGGTCGTGGTGGGGCATGGAGGAAATCCGACAAGAGACTTGTTTATGCCCCAAAAAAGAACCTAAACAGGCTCCCAAACAGCAGCCTGGATGCCGCCGGGCACCATGCCTGGCTGCAATGGCGGCTTCGGATGGGGACGCTCGCCATAGCTGTCGCCATACCTGCCTTCTGGGCCGTAGTTTCCACCAGGGCCTGGCTTCGGCATTCCAAGGGGGTGCTTCCGAAGCTCCAAGCCAATGGAAAAGACACACTGTCAAAGGAGTGAGACACTCACCCGACCCAGCTAATACAGCATCAACCTTATGATCTTTTCTGGGAGCAACTACCAATATTGATGGCAACAACAATGGCAAACAAACCCCACGTCTGCTCTCAGTCTCTGCGAGCCGCCTTGGCCTTGGCCCGCCCACTGCTGCATGTGCTGGCCATGTTGCCCGGGACGCATTCCGCGAGGACGGCCGTAGCGGCCGGGCTGCCCCGGCCACTTCTGCATGCGGCCTTCCCAACACTTTTCGGCGCATGGGCTCAGAATACTCAATGGGCAACAAACACCGGGAACATAGCCTTCTCCTTCCGAAGTTCACAAGACCCTATCCATGCTCACTGTTGCAGGAACTCTTCCAAAAAGGCTCACACCCGATAAGCCCTCAACTACGAGCCCCCTTGAGCCCCTTCGAGCCTGCAGTGCCCCCGCTGCCACCCCAATCCATGGCCAGCGTGCCAGCAGCGCCCTGGGTCTTGGAGGGCGTGTGGTCCCAGTTTGGGTTCTTACTAGACATCCAGCTGGGAAAAGGTTTTTCTCCGAGACCAGGCACGCTTTTCTCGAAGCTGTCCCAGTCTTTCTTCGACATCTTGGCCTTGCCCGCGAACTTCGCGGGCGTGGAGAACACTTGGTTTGCGCCCAGGTGCCATGAGGTCGAAGGTTTCAGGGGGCTTTCGGGTTTTCATGAGCAGCATGGGCATGGACATGTACACCTCCTATACCTGCGCGGCGATAAAGCAGACGAATACTGTGGAAATGACATGAGTCTGTGACAGTCTGTGCATTTGCAGGGCAGCAGCTGAAGGAAACGATTACTTGGACCGTCTTCCAAAATTCAGCCCTGAGAAATTCCCCCGAATCAAAGACACGAGCAAATACCCTGCTGCGGGGTTGTGGATGAACTTTATCCTACTACCCCCAAGCACGTTCGAAGCCCAGGTGCTGCTTAGTGGAACCAGGACGTGACGTCTGCGGTCCGTCCTCAGCTGTGTCTCTTGGAGTCCAGATTCCGGTTGCAGCATGCAAGGCGTGGTGGTTCATTCTCTTGCTCGCAGCAAAAGGAGCAGAAGGTGGCCAAGTCAGGGAACAGAAACTGTGGCATATTGTAGCGCTACGTAGCACTTTCAAGCACCCACTCCATCTTTCGGCTGTCCGTCGTACCAGCGCTAATGATCCCTCCGGCAGCTCGAGAGCACGCGTTTGGGTTTCAAAAACTTAGCACACACTCAGCCGGGCACAACAAACCTCATGGGAACATGAACGAAGGATATGGGAGGGACTCTGTTCTTGAAACCAAAACTACACCTGCTAAGCCCTCATTGAATCCAAACTAATGCAGGAGTAGGCACAACTCCTTCACCAGCCTGAGTTTGGAAACGTTGCCATCATGCGGCCAAGCAGACCAGCCTACCCCACTCCCCCCCCCCCCCCCCCCGCCGCCAATCCCCCACACAAACGCGTTGAAGATCTCCTCCAAAGCGGAACCTGAATGCAAAAGTCATCCCCACAGAAACCTCACACTCATATGAATGCCCTGTACAGCTCTATCCTGCGAGGAGTGTTTCCTTTCACCCTGCTGAAGAACCCTCGGCTTCCACCGATAAGTCGTCGTGCACCAGGAAAGCAGCGAAGAGTCGGATGGTGGTGGAGCTGGCTTAATTAATAGGGGTTCAGGAGCAAGCCACCCCAATCAGTGGAGTCGAAGCGATTCCTGGCCGGAACCAGAACACGTGCCAGGATTTTGAAATGCACCCCAGTTCGTACCTAGGAAGCTCCGGGTGGACATTTGCGTCCGAGGTGCTCCTTGATCTTGTTCTCCTCCGTTGCATTCCTTATCTTGGTTGCACTTCAGCGTTGCTACCGAGGCCTTGCGACTCTGGGTGCACAAGTAAATTCATTCAAATAAATAAACAAACCAATATATATATATATATATACATATATATATATATATGCGCGTGCGTGTGTATGTATATATACTTGGTAGCAGCTAGCATGGCTCACAGACCCCAAGCCGGCTAGGACACTCAGCTTGCGAACTGCCAAGCGACACATGCTCAGCCTTGGCCAGGGCTTTGATTGCACACTTCTCAACGCTGTAGACAGTCTTGGCTGTAGACTTCACGATGAAGTTGTTCTTGCATGCCTGAGCAAGCAAGCCCTCCGCACCTCTAAACCCGAACTACAAGGCTTCGGTAGAGTCTACCCAGGGATTCTGCTATGTGCCTCCTTGCACTCAGTAGGAAAAAAAACACCGATCGAAATCGACAGGAGGCTACGAGTACCTCCACCATGCCATTCGACTTCAGTCGACGTCAGTCCGGCGAGCGTGACTACTAGGAGGGTATTCATGGATCTCATACACAGTGCTCCGAAATAGGTGTGCGCATGCTAGAGAGCGGAGGCCAATCGAGGTCTTGCTGTTCACTTGATGCCCAAAGCCACAGGTCCGAACACAAGTCAGCCAGTTTCCCGAGTGCAACTTGAATGCTCAGGGATTGCAAGGTTGGGCGGGGGGATTCCTTCTGGCATGCTTCTGAGTACGATAAGCCCCCATCACGCAAAAGGAGCTGTGTGACAGCTGCTTCATTGCCATCGGATGCTCTACACTGCCCAGGTGCAGGCATCCTTGTCGTGTCACGATCTGTTGGCAGATCATTCAGCATCTTGTCCGCATCCATCACATACTTCTCCTTGGCCGAGGTGGTGAAGTCCACGATTCTCGTGATGCGGAATCTCTTTCAGAGATGGTCTGCCGCTCAAAGGCTCGCCGGGTCAGCTGCGGCAGCCATACGGGGAATTCAAGAATTCAAGCCAAGTCTCGCAGCCAGATCCGATAAGCAACGGTGCAATCTTCCTGAGCTTGGGCCCCAATTCTTCGGGTTTGGGGCTTGGGGTTTAGGGTTCGGATCATTTTCGACGTCACCGCTCTTCGTAGGTGCCGGCAAATAGCCGAAGCAAACAACCAAAAACCCTGCTACAAAACAAATCCCAACTGTACAACCAGCAGGGAAGGCTCGAGGGACTGAACTATGAAGGCACATTCGGCGCATTTGACACTCTGCGCGTCCCGAGTCTCCGCACAAGCTCACGAACGCTGAAGACGTCGTCTGCGTCGCAAGGCCCGTGCTCAGTGTCTCCTGGGCTCTTCTGCATACTCTCACCCTCATCTTACAACTTCTCGCATCTTCAAGTGACACTCTTGCATTCTCCATCCAAAGGGACTTTTCGTCAGACGGACTCGCGCAGCAAACTTGCGAAGCAGGGCTGGCACAGTTGCCCTATGCATGTTTAGCCCGCGGGGGTGATGATGGCAGACAGCAGATCCAACCTGCAAGCTAGCGGTGCCCGGATGACACGCGGTAGCGGTGACCCCCGCATCACCACAAGAACATGCCGACGAAAACGTTTAGACCACCGAAACCGCGTGACTTTGTTTCTGTTGAGAGTCCAACCTTTTACTTGCCAGACTTGCCGAGGCGCCGTGCCAGGGGACCACGTCGGGCGGTGCCAATTCCTAGGCAGCAAGTTTCTTTCGGGCTGTTTTTGGTGTTCTTGGGAGGGTCGGTTCTTGAAGCCTTGATGAAGCCTTGTGGCCGCTTGATGTCTCCAGTGGCTTGGGAAGGTTCTTATTCTTAATTCCACATTCCCCAATGCTAAGCAGACCACGTGCAAACCCAGCGACCCAGGGAGCTCGCTTGCCGGCAGGCACCGATAGCCTGGAAGCTTTCACTCCACCACGCGAAATTGGTCACGCGTGCTCCGCACTCATTCACACCAAGGGTCCTCCGAAACTGTCCCCCAAAAACCTATAGTTACTATGTGCCATGGACCTTTAGGTATAATGTGAGGTCTTGTCCTTCTTTCCCTATTAAAACCATTGAATGTTTTATGCCTGAAGCATGTCAGAGTTGGGTTTATGGCTTAGCAAACTCACTCATCCTTGGAAACAAGTCGGAGGGGGCCTTTCTGTTTTTCAAGAAAAATGAAACAACTATGAAGTAACACAATAGCGAGTCACCCCCCTGATCTTGGCCTCTCGTCGCTTTCTCACAAGTCCAAGTTATGGAAGGAACCGCCGGAAAGATGAAAAGAATAGGAAGGTAGAGATAAGAGAAGGGTGTTCCGCCCCCCTCTCCAAAACCTTCTTCATTCCTCTCCTCTCTTCGTCTCTTCTCTTTGCTTCTTCTTTTCTGACAACAGTGGGAAAGGGAAGGAATGAAAGAGCAGAAGGAAGGCAGGCACAAATGGGCCTCCTTTTGTGCGCCCGTCCTCCTTGCCTTTTTGTCTGCCTCGATGTGGCAAAGGTGAGCAAGGGAGGGGGGGAACGACAAGCCCTCCGTGCCCCTTGTCTTGTCGTGTTTTCCCAGAGTGTTGCGGGAAGACTGCGGGGGCCTTTTTTCCCGCCTCTCCTTTCCTTTCCTTGCCTTTCCTGCGCTCTCATAGAAAAAGGAAGAAGAAGGATAAAAGACAAAGCAGAAACAAAAAGGGGGTCATGCCCCCGCCTATGGGCCTATGTCTACTTTCTCCTCTCTTGCTTTCTGCTCTTCAGTTTCTGGACTCTGACACGTAAGAAATGTCTGCGACAGGGGGTGGCAGGGGGAGCTTTCCTTTCCCAGTCTTTCTTCCCTGTCTCCTTATCAATGAGAAAACGCATGAGGGGGAGGAAGGAGAAGTGGAGAGTGAGAGCGAGGGACAAGGAGATGGAGAGAGGAAGAAAGAGAATGAGAGAATGATAGTGAAAGAGAAAGGAAAGATAGAGAGAGAGAGAGAGAGGGTGTAGGTAGATAGATAGATAATAAAGAGGAAAGGCGAGCAACCGCAAGGCGTGGCAACTTTCTGTTGTTTTCCTTTCCACTTCAGTCTGTTCTTCCTCGCCATTTCTTCCTATATATCTCATTCGCGAGAAAAGGAGGAGAGAAGAGGAAGAAGAAAAGAGGACAGCAAGGAAGAGGGCAGATGGAGTGACAAGTTATCTGGTCCCTCTTCATACCTTATCATCTGCGAACATTACTCCTCTGTTCTCTTCTGTCTCCTGTTCTTTTGAAGTAAAGGTTCCCTTGTCTTGTCATGTTTTCCCAGAGTGTTGCGGGAAGACTGCGGGGGCATTTTTTCCCGCCTCTCCTTTCCTTTCCTTTCCTGCGCTCTCATAGAAAAAGGAAGAAGAAGGATAAATGACAAAGCAGAAACAAAAAAGAGGTCATGCCCCCGCCTATGGGCCTATGTCTACTTTCTCCTCTCTTGCTTTCTGCTCTTCAGTTTCTGGACTCTGATACGTAAGAAATGTCTGCGACAGGGGGTGGCAGGGGGAGCGTTCCTTTCCCAGTCTTTCTTCCCTGTCTCCTTATCAATGAGAAAACGCATGAGGGGGAGGAAGGAGAAGTGGAGAGTGAGAGCGAGGGACAGGGAGAGGGAGAGAAGAAGAAAGAGAGTGAGAGAATGAAAGTGAAAGAGGGAGGAACGATAGGAAGGGAAACATACGGGAAGGAGAGGGTTCCGCCCCCTTCTCCAAATCCTTCTTCGTTCCTCTCCTCTCTTCGTCTCTTCTCTTAGCTGCTTCTTTTCTGACAACAGTGGGAAAGGAAGGAATGAAAGAGCAGAAGGAAGACAGGCACAAATGGGCCTCCTTTTGTGCGCCCGTCCTCCTTGCCTTTTTGTCTGCCTCGATGTGGCAAAGCTGAGCAAGGGAAGGGGGAACGACAAGCTCTCCGTTTTCTTGTCTTCTCGTGAATTCCCGGAGAGTTGCGGGAAGACTGCGGGGGCCTTTTTGAAGGATAAAACACAAAAAGCAGAAACAAAAAAGAGGTCATGCCCCCGCCTATGGGTCTATGTCTACTTTCTCCTCTCTTGCTTTCTGCTCTTCAGTTTCTGGACTCTGATACGTAAGAAATGTCTGCGACGGGGGGTGGCAGGGGGAGCGTTCCTTTTCCAGTCTTTCTTCCCTGTCTCCTTATCAATGAGAAAACGCATGAGGGGGAGGAAGGAGAAGTGGAGAGTGAGAGCGAGGGACAGGGAGAGGGAGAGAAGAGGAGAGAGAATGAGAGAATGAAAGTGAAAGAGGGAGGAACGATAGGAAGGGAGAGATAAGGGAAGGAGGGGGTTCCGCCCCCTTCTCCAAATCCTTCTTCGTTCCTCTCCTCTTTTCGTCTCTTCTCTTAGCTGCTTCTTTTCTGACAACAGTGGGAAAGGAAGGAATGAAAGAGCAGAAGGAAGACAGGCACCAATGGGCCTCCTTTTGTGCGCCCGTCCTCCTTGCCTTTTTGTCTGCCTCGATGTGGCAAAGCTGAGCAAGGGAAGGGGGGGAACGACAAGCTCTCCGTTTTCTTGTCTTCTCGTGAATTCCCGGAGAGTTGCGGGAAGACTGCGGGGGCCTTTTTTCCGCTTCTCCTTTCCTGTTCTTTCCTTCACTCTCATAGAAAAAGGAAGAAGAAGAAGAAGGATAAAAGACAAAGCAGAAACAAAAAAGAGGTCATGCCCCCGCCTACGGGCCTATGTCTACTTTCTCCTCTCTTGCTTTCTGCTCTTCAGTTTCTGGACTCTGATACGTAAGAAATGTCTGCGACGGGGGGTGGCAGGGGGAGCGTTCCTTTCCCAGTCTTTCTTCCCTGTCTCCTTATCAATGAGAAAACGGATGAGGGGGAGGAAGGAGAAGTGGAGAGTGAGAGCGAGGGACAGGGAGAGGGAGAGAAGAAGAGAGAGAATGAGAGAATGAAAGTGAAAGAGGGAGGAACGATAGGAAGGGAGACATAAGGGAAGGAGAGGGTTCCGCCCCCTTTTCCAAATCTTTCTTCGTTCCTCTCCTCTCTTCGTCTCTTCTCTTTGCTGCTTCTTTTCTGACAACAGTGGGAAAGGAAGGAATTAAAGAGCAGAAGGAAGACAGGCACAAATGGGCCTCCTTTTGTGCGCCCGTCCTCCTTGCCTTTTTGTCTGCCTCGATGTGGCAAAGCTGAGCAAGGGAGGGGGGGAACGACAAGCTCTCCGTTTTCTTGTCTTGTCGTGTGTTCCCGGAGAGTTGCGGGAAGACTGCGGGGGCCTTTTTTCCCGCTTCTCCTTTCCTGTTCTTTCCTGCGCTCTCATAGAAAAAGGAAGAAGAAGGATAAAAGACAAAGCAGAAACAAAAAAGAGGTGATGCCCCCGCCTATGGGCCTATGTCTACTTTCTCCTCTCTGGCTTTCTGCTCTTCCATTTCTGGACTCTGATACGTAAGAAATGTCCGCGACAGGGGGTGGCAGGGGGGGGGGCGTTCCTTTCCCAATCTTTCTTCCCTGTCTCCTTATCAATGAGAAAATGCATGAGGGGGAGGAAGGAGAAGTGGAGAGTGAGAGCGAGGGACAAGGAGAGGGAGAGAGGAAGAAAGAGAATGAGAGAATTAGAGTGAAAGAGAAAGGAAAGATAGAGAGAGAGAGGGTGTAGGTAGATAGATAGATAATAAAGAGGAAAGGCGAGCAACCGCAAGGCGTGGCAACTTTCTGTTGTTTTGCTTTCCACTTCAGTCTGTTCTTCCTCACCATTTCTTCCTATATATCTCATTCGCGAGAAAAGGAGGAGAGAAGAGGAAGAAGAAAAGAGGACAGCAAGGAAGAGGGCAGATGGAGTGACAAGTTATCTGGTCCCTCTTCATACCTTATCATCTGCGAACATTACTCCTCTGTTCTCCTCTGTCTCCTGTTCTTTTGAAGTAAAGGTTCCCTTGTCTTGTCGTGTTTTCCCAGAGAGTTGCGGGAAGACTGAGGGGGCCTTTTTGCCCACCTCTCGTTTCATTTTCTTTCCTGCGCTCTCATAGAAAAAGGAAGAAGAAGGATAAAAGATAAAGCAGAAACAAAAAAGAGGTCATGCCCCCGCCTATGGGCCTATGTCTACTTTCTCCTCTCTTTGCTTTCTGCTCTTCAGTTTCTGGACTCTGATACGTAAGAAATGTCTGCGACGGGGGGTGGCTGGGGGAGCGTTCCTTTCCCAGTCTTTCTTCCCCGTCTGCTTATCACTGAGAAAACGCATGAGGGGGAGGAAGGAGAGCGAGGGACAGGGAGAGGGAGAAAGGAAGAGAGAGAATGAGAGAATGAAAATGAAAGAGGGAGGAACGATAGGAAGGGAGAGACAAGGGAAGGAGAGGGTTCCGCCCCCTTCTCCAAAACCTTCCTCTCTTCGTCTCTTCTCTTTGCTTCTTCTTTTCTGACAACAGTGGAAAAGGAAGGAATGAAAGAGCAGAAGGAAGGCAGGCACAAATGGGCCTCCTTTTGTGCGCCCGTCCTCCTTGCCTTTTTGTCTGCCTCGATGTGGCAAAGCTGAGCAAGGGAGGGGGGGAACGACAAGCTCTCCGTTCCTTGTCTTGTCGTGTATTCCCGGAAGACTGAGGGGGCCTTTTTTCCCGCTTCTCCTTTCCTTTCCTTTCCTTTCCTGCGCTCTCATAGAAAAAGGAAGAAGAAGGATAAAAGACAAAGCAGAAACAAAAAAGAGGTCATGCCCCCGCCTATGGGCCTATGTCTACTTTCTCCTCTCTTGCTTTCTGCTCTTCAGTTTCTGGAGACAGGGAGAGGGAGAGTGGAAGATGGAGAATGAGAGAATGAAAGTGAAAGAGAGAGGAAAGAGAGAGAGAGAGAGAGAGAGAGAGAGAGAGAGAGAGATAGGTAGAGAGGTAGTTTTCCTCTCCACTTCAGTCTGTTCTTCCTCACCATTTCTTCCTATATATCTCATTCTGCGAGAAAAGGAGGAGAGGAAGGAA